TGCTCGTCTTAATGGCGTTTGAATGGGCTGCTGTATTTACGTAAATCGTTTCCGATGGGATGGGAAATATCTGCAAGAAATCGTCTGCCTTTAGTTTTGTACCATATCTATATCATCTCATCTCACCTGAGTTTCGGCAGAGCGCTGTTTAGCCACGACAGCATCCCAGCGTGCAAGTTTCTTCTTAACACCTTCGTAGCCAATTGTTCGCTTGATGCGATCAGCAACCGGCTTCTCAAGTGGTTTCTGAAGGACCTTTTTAGTGCTGTGCACATTTTTCAGCTTCTTGCCAGTTTCAATGTGCTTGGAAGTGCGCAAGATTTGAACCAAATCGTTCACACCCACGGCCTTAGCTGCGTGGTCTGTTGCATTGGCACTCTTGAACAACTGAAACTCATTCTGTTCTGGCTGGCGCTCGTCGCGTGTAGATTTGCGGATATGCTGCACATTGCCTAGGCTACTAACGGCCTGCAGAAGCTTTTTATGTGCAATTGGATCATACTGTTCTTCATCGTCACTCATATTGGATAAGGAAGGCAAAATTTATTATTATTATTATTTAAAAATTAAATTTAAACCGAGCTGTTTTAGAAACACGCGGTGACAGAATCAGCTGTTTGTCATCAAGCAAACGTATTCACAATGGAAAACTATCGATATTGTTCTATTCAAAAGTATGCTAGTTGAGTAAACTGTTAAATTGAGATTGACATATTTCGCATAGGTTTTTTGATAATATAAATGCAATTGCTTTGATTCAATGATAACCATCCTGTAGCATTAAGATTATTTGGAATATTCCATTTTTAGTCTCTCATATCCGAATATTTTACATATTAATAACGATACTATCACTAGCTCGATATCTCCATGTATTGTGTATCAAAGTTAAATTGCAAGAAATCGATTAGCGGCACGATAACCCACAGACGCGAAATTGTTAAACAAATACGGGCGCATCGTTCCATGGCCGATACAAAATCCGGCCGTCATGCGAGCACCAGCGCTGCAACTCCACTTCTGGTGCAGAGCCCCGAGAACCTGGAGTGCAAGAACTTTCAGGAATATCTGCGCACCCGCCAGACACCTGAATCATTGGAGAAGCTCTACAGTTATCCACCCATTTGCCTAGCTGTCTTCCGCGAGTTGCCTGAAATTGCAAGACAATTTGTGATTCGTATACTGTTCGTCGACCAACCCGTACCACAGGCCGTTGTCAGCTCATGGGGCGCCCAACGTGTGGCCAAGTAAGTAAAGAACACAATCGTTGTTGACAACCAATTCAGAATTTGCTCTCCTTTGTTCCCAGGGAACAACTGGAGGCAACCAACTGCTTGTCTGCCTTATCTGTTTGGCGTGTGACAGCCATACCAGGTGGACTAGCTGCCTGGGAGCTATCGCCCACATTTAAGAAGAGCGTGCGCCAAGTGTTGTTAGGTGGAGGAAAGCCCTGGGCAATTACCAATTCGCTCGAGAGGGACTCCAAGCCACGGGATGTTGCATTCCTTGACGCGTATGCCATGTCTCGGTGGCGTTGTGTGCTGCATTACATGGTGGGTACGGGAAATCGAAGTAACACCGAAACTGAGGCCATCAGTCCAGATGCCGTACGCATTCTACTCCATGCAAATCTTATGAAGCGCGATGAGCGGGAGGGCATTACCATCACACGTCAAGGATTTCAGTTCTTGCTTCTGGACACACGAGCCCAGGTCTGGCATTTCATGCTGCAGTATTTAGATACGTGCCAGGAACGTGGCCTGGTCTTGGCCGAGTGTCTGTCTATGCTCTTTCAATTGAGCTTCTCTACGCTGGGGCGCGACTACAGCTCTGAAGGCATGAACAAGCAGATGCTGATGTTTCTCCAGCACCTGCGGGAGTTCGGCCTGGTATTTCAAAGGAAACGCAAAGAGCATCGCTTTTATCCCACGCGATTAGCGTTAAATGTAACTAACAAGGAAGCAGCAGAAGCATCCATTTCGGTGGATGAAGAGCGCATGCAGGAGCGAGGCTACATTGTGGTGGAGACCAACTATCGCGTATATGCCTACACAGACTCCCAGTTGCAGGTCGCTGTGCTGGGCCTTTTCACCGAGCTGCTCTATCGATTTCCCAATCTCGTAGTAGGCGTGCTCACCCGAGACTCTGTGCGTCAAGCTCTGCGAGGCGGCATTACGGCCGAGCAAATAGTCAGCTATTTGGAGCAGTATGCACATCCCAACATGAAATTGGTTGAGTCTGCAATTCAATCAAAATCCTGCCTGCCACCCACCGTCGTGGACCAAATCAAACTGTGGGAGATGGAACGCAATCGTTTCACCTACACCGAGGGCGTCGTCTACAATCAGTTCCTCTCTCAGAATGACTTCGTAACGCTGCGCGACTACGCCCAATCCCAGAATGTGTTGGTCTGGCAAAACGAGCGCACCCGCACCATGGTCGTGCAAAAGAATGGCCACGACGATGTCAAGCGCTATTGGAAGAAGTACTCAAAGAGCGCCGGCTAGCACCAAACTATTATACTTCTTATTTAAGCAAATCATTTAATTTTACAAATAAGCTAAGTGCGCGTCTGCAAGCATAGTTGCCCTTTGTAACAAGCACAAATCCAAATTGTTATCCAGGACAGCTGCGGGCACATTCAATAATAAAATGGAATACCTCTATCAAAATTTATATATACACATATAAACATATACATAATTAAGCGCAGGTTTGATTGGGTAAGCTTGAATTTAGCTGGGAATTTAATTCGACATCGACTAATCCAGTTTATACAAATTATATATATGTTTATGAGCATATATATAATAATAATAAATTACACTAAAATCATTCAACAATACGAAACATTAAAGCTTGGGAAATATTCATTTTTTAAATGCAAAATTGGAACGTTTAATATAAAATCGGACGCTGCGGCATACAGAGATTATAGTAGCTCTTCTTATCCCAAAAGTCCAAACCCTTCCACCCACACCAGCCCTTAATCTGTATGGTGGCCAGGTCATCGGGCCCAGTATAATGGGGATCGAGTATCAAGAACTTCGCCTGGCCCGTCTGCACACAGTAATCCACGCCGATTATTGTGTGTGCGAGCACTCCGCCCCCGATCATAACAGGTGTGCCCTGCGTTTGGAAATGCATAGCCAGCTCTGAGGCAATTGTCGAGAGCTCGGCACCAGATGCCACATGCAATATCTTCGAATCCACATTGAGGAATCCCTGCAAACACATGCTCAGCTCTGTGGAACCAATCCACTGTGACGAGCCAACAAAAGAGGCCGGCTTGTCGTTAATTTTGTGCAAATATTCCTGGATCTCCAGGTGAGTGGGTATCGGACGTTCTGTGTAGCCCTGAAGCAGGAACCAAGAGCAAATCGTTTGCAGCGAACGGTAGGCACAGCCCCAGCCCTTGTCCTGCACCTGTTGTTGCAAATAGTGATAGTAATGATAGTTCCCATTTACCAGGTATTCTTTGCCATCGGTCACGCCACTGGGCCGTACTCCCAGGTGCGTATTAAGCAACGGCGTCCAGGTCGCCGAATCAACAGCATCTATTTCATCTTGGAAGCGACACTGGTTAGCCCGTCTGAAGTAGGGTCGCGTGGCAGGCAATGCGAATTGCCGATGGAGTCGTTTGCGTTTCTCCTGCACACTAGGCTCATCATCGCCCAGTTGCTCCAGATAGGCACAGCTCAAAAAATGCCCGAATTCCTGTGGATAAAAATGATAGGTGCGTGGCGTCAGCAGCTTAACCTCCGACGTTGTCTCCTGCTCGGTAAGTCGCTCAATAAGGCATTGCTCAAAGAGGCGCAACGACCGGCATATGCTCTCTATAAGCACATCGTACAAACGCAGAAGCTTTGTCTTCTTGCAGAGTATGGCCATTGCTTCCAGTTCCAAGGGCACCTCTTGCTTAACGGAATCCTCATTCGTGATGCACACACTCAATGCTGGATATGGCAGGGAGTCCCCAGCTCCAAAATCGCGTGTGCGTGAGCGTAATACATCAATATTGATCACATCGTAAGCACAGCCAACAGCGCCATAATACTTGGCCAAATCGGGTGCGGCAGCTTTCTTTTTCTTGTCGCCGCTAGCAGCTTCTGTCGGAGTGGGAATCTCAGCGATTAACTGCTCAATGAGTGAATCGCAGTTGAAGCTCTGATGCTGTATGCCACTGTTGCTGCTCACATAGATTTTAGTTTGTGCCACGTTGAAGACCAGATTGCCATCGGCCACACGCTTCCGGAGCGCGTGCATCTCCTTGGCTATAGCCTCCGGCGTGGGCAGTGTGTGCAAAAAGAAACCACACTTTAATCGTGTGAAACAAAAGTCATTGTACAGCTGGGCGGCTTCCACGACTTCAAACGGCACATTCTCCAGTTTGCCATGTATAAAAAAGGATGCACGCAATCCCACAAGTGTGCCCAGTTGACACTGAAGCAGGATCGGATTATCCGTTATGTCCACCGATGAGATGATCTCGTTAAGGTGAGCTTCTGTGTCAGTGCAGTCCCCAAATTTGACTAAACCACATAAATCCAGTTCGGCTGGGAATTTGTGCTGTATTTGTTCATAGTTCAGTTGACCCACACTGGACTCAACGTTAAAGCTCAATAGCAGCAAAGTGCTCTCTCCATAAAATACGCCATATAAACATCCACTGCACTGCAGCTTAACGCGCTCCAGTCGCTTCAAAATACATTAACAAATCACGCAGAGATCATAAGCATACATATAAATAGCTTACCTTGAGAAGAAAAGCAGATATTCTCAATTTGGGAAGCATTTTTCAGAAAACTAGGCGTGAATTTTTAGTATTTACGTACAAACTGCACAGCTGGCAAGTGTGTCATCGATAGACGTAGATAAGTTATCGACTGTGAACTGCATGTAGACCATTTAATCGACAGTAGTGTGACCGTACTGCACAATATATATGCAGTAACGGCGCTCAACATTGACATTCAAATATTTGTTTTGAAGCATTTGAATACACACACATATAACATTTATTTAATACAATATATATATATTGATATCGGCAAAGATTATAGATTTGCAAAAAAGGCTTGAATAATTTTAACCAAGCAAGCGGATTTTTGTGTTATTTACGCATTTTATCATTATTTTTTAGTAAGCCGTTACCAGCTCGAGCCGTTTTCTTGGGCTTTTCCTTTTTCCTTACAAGACTTTAATTCTATCAATGTTATACATTTATATACAAATACAATATTGATAATTGCATACTGCCGCCATTACATTCCTAATACATTCGCCTTTTAATTGGAATATTTTGCAAGTTTTTTGTTTACTAATTTACAATTTGTATTAAGAATTTTGTAAGTTACGAGATACTACACACTACTATATTCTTCACAATTTTCTAATTTTTTTCTTTCTTCTTATTTTTTCTAATTCAAATATGTTTCTGCACAAAATCGGCATTCGAGCTTGCCAACACAATACACAATCCCATGAATACATTTATCAATTCAATTTGCCGCTGGTTATGGCTCACTTCTCTTACGTATCATTCCTTTAGTTTTGTTAATATTTTAGGCTAAACATTTAGATAAGCTAAATATTAAAATTAAAACAAAAACATCCAGTTCTGTGGCGCTACTTCTTTTGCTTGGCAGCCAAAGTTGCATCCGTTGTTGTTGGCGAAGTTACAGATCCCTTGCCTGTTATTGATGATGTTGTTGCTGTTGCTGACTCCTTGCGGAAATCACTGGCGCTTAATGGCCTAGTCGTTGTAATCGAAGATTTCTTAGATGTACTGATTTTGCCTAATGTTGTAAATTAGAAATGAAATCAGTGATACATCAAGTACATCTTCATTATAAGATAAACTTACCCAGTTCAGCTTTCCTGGCCTTGTCCGAATGATCGGTTTTTGATAATGGCTTTTCTAGTGTCTGTGATGGCGACGATGTCTCGCTCTCCCCATGCTCCTCAATGGCCGGCAGAAATATCTCCGATGCACTGCTACTGTCTTGTGTGCTAGTGGGCGAATCCTTCTCTTCGGCAATACGTGGCAAGAGCTCACAGCTGTTGCTCCCTATGGCTACGTTGTTCGTTGCTTGATTATCAACTGAAGCTGTGGCTGTGCCACCAGCTGATGCTATTGCTATTGCTGAGCTCGTTTGCCTTTGAGATTCCTCAGTGCTGCTAATGCTGCTCAACTGTTGTAGTTGTTGTTGTTGTTGTTGAGGCTGCTGTTGTTGTTGTGGCTGCTGCTGCTGCTGTGGCTGCTGTGCTCCAGGTGCAACACCTGCACCTCCAGCCGGTCGCCAAGTGGCCGCCACGACGCGCTGATGCTGATGGGGTTGCGTTTGCTGTTTAATGGGCGGTGAGCAGCAAAGTGGCGAAATTTTCGTCTCAGCGCTGCGAGGATGCAGTCGATCCGGTGACAGAGCGCGTCGCAGCAACGGCGAACTGGGCTCAGCGGATTTAGTGCGTGCAAAGCCAGCCTTCTTGGTGGTAGCACTTACGGCCGCCTGCAGCGTGGGCAGTGTGCTGCCTGGACTATACGACTGCGTGGTATTGGATGCGCCAGGCTGATGACCCACCAGAGGAAAGGCCAACGGCGATGGCGAGCGAGTGGGCGACGATGGCAAAGGCGACGGAGACGGTGTTCGCGCTAAAGGCGACAGCGGTATGTGACCCACAGACTTGCGGCGATTGGGCAACGCATTGCTGCTCGAGGTGTGAAGAGTCTTTAGGCCGCTGCCAGCGGAACCACTGGCAGTTGAGCCAGCAGCGCCACTGGATGCAGCATGTAGCTTGTGCTTAAGACCATGCAGAGTAGAAGGGCGCTGATACAGCTGTGGTACAACACCCGTGGGTGAAACTAAATAGGAAATTGATGGTTAATATCAATTGATAATAGCAGTATTATATAAGAACTAACCAGGCACATTGCCCACGGATGTGGCACTATTGCCCACAACGGCGCCCACATGCGGCAACAACACAACTGGGCTGGCCGGCGGCAAAGGCAGCTGCACACCCAAGGCTGTCACGGGTAGTGCAGCAATAGATTTGGCTCCATTGCCATTGCTTGTGCCATTGCCCCCACTCGAACCGGTGGGCGTGTTGGGAGACGAGGATGAAGGCGAAGTGGACTGCGATGATGAGTTAGCCGCCGACTGACAGCAACTACTGTGATACGACGAGTCCAACGGCGACAGATTGCGCGCAGAGGGTGTGGTGGGTGAACTGGTGCCCGCCGAGTACTACGAACAGAATGAATAACATAAAAAATCAATAATCTGATAATCTCTCTGCCCATATTTCACTCACCTGTTGCATTTCGGCATTTGCTCGCTTGCTGCTTATACGCCGGAACAGCGACGTCTTACGTTTCTTGTCGTGCTCGCGCTTCGTCTGCTTCTTCTGGCGGTTGACGCCCTTCTTGGCCAGCTTGCTCTGCATGAGGTCACGCTTGCGACCACCGCTCTGTATGCTTGTGTGCTCCAGAGGCGTGGCACGCAGTGTCACATGCTCACCGCCACTCAGCAATAGCTGCAGCACCTGCGTGTGGAATAGACCCTGGATGGGCTCGCCGTTGACATGCGTGATGAGATCGGCGGGTCGGAGTCCTGCCTCAAAAGCGGGACTGCCCTCGTCCACGGCCATGACCAAATGGTGCATGGTATAGAAATCGGTGTCGCCATAATAGACGCGTATAGTGTGTACAGTGAAGCCAAAGCCACGTGGTCCGCGTCGTATTATGATGGGCGGTTTAAGATTCGTCACCAGCGGCGACAGCTCGCGACAAGGCGATGTGTCCCTTGAACTAGCAGTGCTCGAGCCATTGCCGCCACCACCAGCGCTGCCTGGTGACTGAATGCCACACAGCTGAGCCGCCAATTGCGTGTTGTCGAACGAGGACATTAGCGACAGCCCCAAAGCCGAAGCGGATTTCACAATCGAACGTGAACGATGATGCTTGACCCCATACGAATTGGGTCCACTGCTGCTGTCCATAGACTTGGGCTGGTGTTGTAGCGCTAGTGGCGATTGCTCGCGTAGATTCATGTTCTCCGTGGAGGAGCTGCCCGCGCTGATGGTCTCATCTTCAATGGAGATGGAGAATCGTGGCAATATATCACGCGCACAAACTCCCTTACGTTTGCGATTGATCTGCGGTGAAAAATCATCGCTATCCGTTTGCGAACTCTCCGGCGTACTGCGAGAAATGCTGCCCACGCTGGTTGGTTGCGGCGTCGCTGTGGACGACAGAGTCGATGGCGGCGGTGTGGCCGGAGTGCTTATGATGGTCGTTGTATTCGGTGGCATACTGTGGCGCTGATTGGGACGCACAGCCGCCGGCGTTGGCTGCTGTAAATAATGCTTGAGCATGCGCAGCTCAGCATCATTGCCAATGGTGACGTTATGCAACAGTTCCGGCAAAAATTCGCTGTCCGGCGTGGAGGGTACCTTCAGACAACTGGATGAGAGCTGCAAGTGAAAGACAGAAAGATGTATATATCAATGGAACGAGAAGCAAATATTCCTTTTGAGTTACTCACATCCAGCTTACGCAACTGCAGCGTGTTCAAGAACTTATTGACCACGCCCTCCTGGCTTGCAGCTGTAGGCATCTGTTTGGGCATTGCTCCTGTGCCGGCCATAGTCGCTGTTGCTGTCGCATTTTCCTGTGCACGCGACGGCAATGTTGTTGGCGTGGTTTTGGAGCTGTCCGTTGTGGACGCCGTCGCATGGCGAGACCAGCTGTAATGCTGCTTACGATACTGCGGCGTATAGGAATTGAAGCTACCAAACACTGGAGTATCGTCGGTGTCATCGGTATCGTCGCCGGCCAAATCGTGATTGTAGCGATCCATGCGTGCTAATGAAGTGAGGACAAGTAATTAGTATACTATAAAAGGAACAAAGCTCTAGAATACAGAAGCAATCAACTCACTATCAAAGTAGCTGGTATCATCCTCGTGCGACAGCTGCGGCACAAACTCTGCCTTTTGGCGGAGCAACGAGTTCCAATCCATGCCCTGGAAATAAACGTGCTCCTTCACTTCCAGAGCACCAATCTGACTGCCTAAGCGATCCCGCGGATTCTGCTGCAGCAACTGTGATATTATATCCTTTGCCTCCGCCTGTACGGGCCAGTCCTCGCTGTCCGGCCACTCAATGTCATCGTTGACGGTGTGCGCAAACAGCTCCTCGGCGGTCTCGCCGAAGAACGGCACACAGCCAATGAGAAACTCATACAATATTATGCCCATGGACCACCAGTCGACGGGCTTGCCATAGCCCTGTCGCAAAATTACCTCAGGTGCTATATACTCTGGAGTGCCATAGACCTGCAGAGGAGGAGAATAGCTTTAGAAATCTATCAATATATATGTATTTGTGAATCTGCATATACCTGCTTATCGGAAAATTGTCGCGTCTCTGAATCAATATAGCCTTCATACAGATTGGTGGCCAGCGACATAAGACCCATTTTGGAGAGTCCGAAATCGGTGAGCTTAATGTGACCAAGGGCCGTGATTAATAAGTTGTCCGGTTTGAGATCTCGATGGACAATACCATAGCTATGCAGATACTCCACGGCTAATACTGTTTCGGCGAAATAAAAGCGCGCCATGTCAGCGGGCAGCGGGCCAATGTTCTTGAGCAACGTGCCACAGTCACCGCCCTCCACGTACTCCATGACCAGGCAGAGATGCTTCTTGGTCTCAAAGGAGCAGTACATGCTAACCACAAAAGGATTGTCGGCAAACGATAGTATGTCACGCTCGGCGAACACCTGCTCCACCTGATTGCGCAATATGAGATTATTCTTGTTGATCTTCTTCATTGCGAAGCGCTGGCGCGTTGTCTTGTGCTTAACCAGGTAGACGGCGCCATAGGCACCATTTGAGATCAGCTTGGCAATTTCGAAGTCGTTTTCATGCGGCAGCGGTTGTTGTTGTTGCTGCTGCTGCAGTTGTTGTTGTTGTTGCTGCTGCTGCTGCTGTTGTGCAGCAGTTGTCTCTGCAGTAGCTGCTGGCGTGTTCAGCTGGCTAATGGACAATGCAAAACTGGGCGTCGGTTGGTTATCACAGCCCACCGGCGTCTGTGGCGGCTGCTGCGGTAATTTCGGTTGTGGCGTACAGGTGCCACTGCCACCCGAATTACCTGTCTCCAATGTTACGCCGTCCAATGTGAGATTGCTCAGCTGCTTGGCCGCACAGGTCAAGGGTGAGTTGAGCAGCAGTGCACCGGCAGCTGGCTGCGTATCGAGCAGCTTGTCTCCGCCAGCCGTCACCTGCTCCGAGCACATTTGCTGCGTCTCGCGCAGCTCTTGCTGCAGTTCCGCAATGGGATCACGATTGAGGCCGAGCTTGTGTATAATGTACTGCGGTATATCCGCCTTAATGACAGGCATGGCCTTCGCATGGCCCTCGGCTGCCTCGAGCAGCTCGTAAAACTCTTGCGGATCGAATTCCAGACATTCCAACAAACGCGCTGGCCGCGATATGATCAACAGCAACTTTTTGATAACGCCACTCAGCTCGGCAGCCGCCTCCGGGGACTTCTCCTTGGTCTCCAGCAACAGACGCTCCAGATTCTCGCTCAGCTCGTAGAAGTACTGTGACGTAATCAACTTAGCCTCCGATTTGTGCAGACAATCCCGAGCCATTTCCAACACTTGATGGTGTACAAAGCTAAAAAAATGTAAACAAATAATATTTCTGACATTTATTAAATTGTTAAATCAAATAAAAACCTACCGCACAATGGGCTGAGAGTCACGAAAACTATTGCACGCAAGGCTTTTGTTCTCGTTGATGAAGTGCTTCAGACGCTCCTCCATTTGCTGGGTGGCTTTGGGGAAGCGTTCCTTATACAGCGTATTCATCACAGCTATCTCATTGTCCACAATGGGCGAACGGGATGGACTGGACAGCGAACGTGAGCGTGGCCGAAAACAGGGCGACATGCGACCGCTCGGCATTGACGCGGTCGATGCATTCGCTGCATTAGCTGCATTAGCGGCGTTAGCATTGGCATTAGCATTGCCGCTGCAGGCGACGCTCAAATCGGCGCAACAGTTAATGCATGCGATCGGTGGTTTCAATGGCTGTGGCTGCAGCTGTGCGAGCTTTGGTGCATGCTGCGGCTGCTGCTGCTGTTGTTGTGGCTTATGCGCAGCCAGCAACAATGCACAATGCTTAGGGCAATGCTGCTTCAAGTGTTCCGCACAGCAGGCACCAGCTGCCACTGCGGCTGCATCCTCGTGACCAGGCGGCAAATTGTGCGGCAAATGATTTAACGCCTCCTGACTGGAGCATTGCGACTACACAGGAAAACGAATGGCATGAGGGTATTTAATTAATAACATCGAATTCGATATTTACCGATAAATTAGAGCTGCCTGGTGTGGTGCCATAGCCGGAGGACGGCAACGATGCCACCGACCAACGTCTGCCATCGGCAACGCCGCGACAAGAGGCGATTCGTTTGATGGGCGCAAATGCGAACGGCATGGACGAATTGAGGCGCGGACTATCCGCCGGGCTAGCCGAATATGGTGAATGGGCGCGTGAGCTACCAGCCATGGCAGCAGCATTGGTGACCAGACTCAAGCGATGATGAGCCACACCGCTCGATCCACTGCTGCCAGCGCCCGAAGTGGAGCCGCGCATGACCACGCCATGCAAATGATGGTGCTTGGACAGGGCAATGCCACTGCCAGAGCGTGAGATATTTAAACCAGGAGCTGTTGAATTCATACCCCCCGCGCCTCCTGCGGCGGCGGACACTGCTCCAACACCTGGACCACCGCAGCTGAGTTCATGGCGAAAGTAATTACCCGTCAGGCATGGAGCAGATTTGCCCAGTGAGGAATGGCGCATACGCAACAAATTGGACGCTTCTACAAAACCCAAATTATAATATTAATGAGCTATAGGGGAGCTTGGGAAAGGGGGAGACAATTCTTACCGCTGCCGGCAGCCCGAAGGGAGTTCGTATGCTGCTGATAGGAGATCTTGCGCAGCAGCGCCGTGTAGCCGCGCGAGTGTAGCGAGCTAGAGCTGCCCGAGAGGCCGCCCGACGAGCTTTTGGTTAAATTGAGATTGCGTATTAGCGAGGAGCCATTATTGCTGTTGCTATTGTTGTTGCTATTGCTGTTGCTGTTGTTGTTGCTGTTGCTGTTGGTGGTGCTGTCATTGCAATTGGCACCCAGCTTGGCCGGCGAGGCAGGCAGCAATTCAACGCCGCTGCTGGCATCGGCGGTGCTGGCCGAATGAGCGTGCGCCAAAGCATTCGCATTCGCACTCGCCGCAGCCGCTGCGGCTGCATCGTGATCCGAGTCCTCGAAAATCAGCACACGCGCCGAGTAACTGGACTGCGGACGTATACGCGATAAATTGGCAGAGTTTAGCTGCCGCTTGGCCACGGGACTGGCATCACTGCAGCTGCTGTTGATGGACGAATCGCATATCGCGCTAGCATCGTTTGCACCAATCTCACTGGCCAAGCTACGATCAATGAACGCTTGTTGTTGCTCCTGCGTGGACTCATCTCGTTTTTGTGGTGTTGATGTTGATATCTTGATGCATGCTGTATTCGCAGTTGTTGTTGCTGTAGTTGATGCTGCTGTTGCTGCTGCTGCTGTTGCTGCTGCTGTTGCGGCTGCTGCTGCTGTTGCTGCTGCTGCTTCTGTTGCTGCTGCTTCTGTTGCTGCTGCTGCTTCTGTTGATTTTGGTGAGGCTGTTGATGTTGCTGCTGCTGCCGCTCCTGTTGCCATCGACGACGACTTGGAAGCCAAGCTCTCCTGGCGGCTCATGACGTTAACGCGTTGGTTGCTCAGCGCACTTATACGACTTGCATGTTGTTATTGCTGATGTTGCTGCTGTTGTTGCTATAGTTGCTCTTGCTGTGGCTTGGCATGGCGGCTGCTGTTGCTGCTGCCGCTGATACAACTACTGCTGCTGCTGCTGCTGCTACTGCTGCTACTTCTGTGGCTGCTGTAAATAACCAAAAAACAATAATTAGCATGGAGCTGACAACGCTGCCCCAGACACTGGCAATTGCTACAATAAACACATATACTCACACATATACATACACACACGCAGGCAAACAAAAAATCGAAATAAATTTTGTTGAATTTTCATTTTCACACACGTCAATGAAAATTTCATTATAAATAAATACATATATACATATACGTATTTGTATATGGTACATATAAAATAGTTCACCTGCTAAAAAAGTGATCACAAATATATATGTACATATATGTATGTCTCTATACAGTATGCTAACGAAGTCTTCGTACATGTTGCTATTTTTATCTTTATTGAATTAAAAAATTAACAAGTGCAAGGCAAGAAATCGTGTTGCAAATTATTTATTCAATTCTGTAGCTTATCACAAAAAAAAAAAAAAAAAAAAAAAAAAAAAGTCATAAACCGACTTTACCGACTTTATATAACGTAAGGCTCAAATTGAATGAAAAAACAGCATAAGAACTTAACAACATACATATATGGCATATTCATATATACGCATATGTATATAATAAAAAGTTTTTATTTTATTAAAAACAGACTCGTATTATTAATTGATTAAGATTGCAATAAAAAAAAAAAACAAAACAGTTTTTTTCTATCAAAATCGTATATATATATATATATATATATATATATATATATATATATATTTATATATATGTATGTGCAAATGGCTGTTTTATTATCTGCAGTTTTCTAGTTTGTGAAGGTTCTTCTTTACGAGTGTATACTGTGCTGTGATAAAAGTCAGCTTACAAATTGAATTGATGTACATATTTGTGTTAATAAATATGGTTCTTAAAATCGAATGGGCGACGTTTACCGTTGAAATTACAATGGGGTGGGGTTAACTGCTAGGCCTTGATGTAGGGGAACTCAAGTTGGGCATATGTACAATATATACAAACAGAGCGTGTAGCGCCGATCGTGCGTCGCTAGTTGTCGTAGTCACGACGTCGACGGCTGGCTCTGCGGTTATCAGTTAAGTGTTGGGTTTTGTTTTTTATTTATTTTTATATGTTTAGTGCCACTTATTTACACACACATATACATATACATAAATATACAAGTCTGCCTCTGCATTTGCATACGTGTGTTCGTGTGTGTGTATTTGTATAGGTTCACTGTATATCTGTTTGGATTTTATTCGCATGATAATTTAATTCGTTTTATTATTTGTCAAGTGGTTGCTTAAACCGCCAAGGGCAGCTCTCGATGGGGGTTCTATTTAAAGGATTTTGACGCACAATAGAAACACAAAAATCAACTTAATTGCGTTCAGAGGCCCCAACAGCAGCAACAACAACAATGATAATGACACATACATTTGTCATTCAGCGCCGAGTGCTCCACACCTAGCTCAGTGCCAGCGGCAAGGCAAATACATCCTTATCGTTGACTGTGTGTGCGTGTGTGATGATAGGTGTAGACTCCTTATGAGCCGCCCACTGACTGCCTTTTACGCACACAGGCAAACAAACGCACAGACACGCACTCTTGGTCACACTCACACTCATACACACCACAGGGAGTGTGGGGCAACAATTGATTGTTACACACGTTACATGCACTTTGTATAATTTTTGCACATTACATGATATACGCTGCAAGTATAGCGGATTCGCACACTTACGTGCAGCGCACGCAAAGCTATAATAAACTATAAAATAGTTGCAGATTCTCTAATAGGCGACCAGAGCGACGAAAAATCGTTGTTACAATATCAATTGTCTTTTGTACGTTACGGTCACACTAACTAAACAAAGTTGGGGATGATAGACCAGAAAATTAAATCGATAAGCTGCATATCGATATACTCTTGAATATTGTATCGGCCTTAAATACAGCTTCAAAGATGAATATTTGCTGGTTACATTTACTAATTTTATTTACTTTCCTTTTATCGAAGTGTTATTGTAAATTAACTCGCATTGCTTATTATCTTCATTATTTAAAATAATCCGAATAAAAAGCAAAAAAAATTATAATTAATGAGAATATATGTATACATAAAGCAACAATCGTTAGCCATAATTCATATTTGTACTATGCGAAGTCTGGTAAGCGCTTGATATGTTCTTCTGGGACGTTGATTGCTGCGTGGGCTGCGTTTGATCTGTGGCAAGGTGGTTGTTCTCCTGACACCATTCGACGAAATCGTCAATTAGCACGGGCCAAGCGCCCTCCGCGTCATAGTTGCTCATCCGATCATCGATGTTGGTGGCGAAATCCAGCAGCAAATTCCAAGTGTCCCTTGAAATTGCACGTTTGTGTTTCTCTTCGAGGAACTTGCACCAGATGCCCAAGAATTTGAAACGATCGCTGAGCACAATACACCAATACGCAATGGCCATGTCCAGATCAATGCCCTTTTGGCCCGGATCCTTTGCATAATTAAAAGTGAAATGATAAAAATCCTTGAATTTGCCAGCATCATTCAATTCCTGTTCCAGCAATGGCAATTTCGACTTGAGCTTCTCTATGCTGTCTATGCCCAAGTCACACATGCCATTAATGAACTCATCCCGCGAGAACTCGCACTGCACCTCTGCGTGGAATTTCCAGGCAATGATGAGCACAAGTTTGGAGTCAGGACTTAATTCCAGATCCTCAAGAAATTTTATGACACCCGATGAGCTGATCTTCTGGGCATCAGTTGGGTCGCGATAGCGCATAAATAGCTGCTCGATACGCTTGCGATCGAGCTCACGATAATAGTATTCAGGATTCTGAAAATAGTTATCGCTGGCCAAATCCATTTTCCAATCATTCTGTTGCAGGCAGAAAATGGCTGTCTGTTCGCCTGTCTGTGTTAGTGAGATAAATTTCTTCACCTTGTCACGATGCTGGCTTGACTTTAGCTTGTTCTGCAAAAATAAACAATATGAATATTGTTAGCCAACCACCAATACATTCACACAGATTTGATGTAAATGCGAATTGCATAAATACACCAACTACAATTTGTGCGTGCGCTGGCGCTTCTCCGCAGGAAGAAGCAGCAGCAAACAAAAACAAACAACATTTGTCTGCACTGAAATGCCCAAATAATGTGACTAAATTTATAGTCATGCATTGTGCTATGTACTTACCATGATTTATATATTGTATTTGTTATTATTTACTAGTTATTAGCAAAGTTTTCTCTGCGTTGATGTTCCGAACGTCGAAACCCAGAGATGCCTATGTATCGATTTATTCGTAAAGATTTGGCAGCACCGCAAGTGGCAACACTTTAATGTCTATCGATAATTTACATCTGACTCAGTATTGATTTTCAGAGACCAACAACAAAAGATAATAAGAAAAAAACACAATAGCAGACGCAAATCCTTAGTGTAAAATTAGGGAAAATCAACCAGATGCATTCCCAATGTCTGGTCCTGGTACTGCTCTATGCAGCCGTAATCCACGCCAGTGATATCACAAATATTGTGTTTGGGAATGTTAAGGAAGGTGTTGTGGCAGCTTTTGGTGACTTTAATTCCGATGAACTTACTGACATATTCGTCATTCAAGATGACAGAAAAATTCTACAAATATTATATGGTGCGTATATGCTACACAATTTGAGAGTAATGAAAGTAGTAAAATTGTGTTTAATCATTTGTGAAAATGCTCAATGCCATAGATGATGCTCTTATAAATGAAATATGTATATAGTAAATTATTCTTGAACTTAATGAATGTCTGATAATTATTATGCTCAACAGGAGCTGATACGGAACCACTATTGCGTCTGGGTCCTTTCTGCAACTTTAATGACAGAAGGATTGTAAGCGTTACACCTGGAGACTTTGATGGCGATGCCTTGATGGACGTTATGGTCAATGTGGAGAGAAGTAAGAATATCTATGACGTCTATATCAGTTGGGGCAACACCACAATGTTGAATTGTTCAAAAGAGCCTGTTATCCAAACAAAGGGCGAGGCAATGGCTCTCGACTTCAATCACGATATGATCATTGATCTGTATGGATTAGATCCGAATGATACGCGCAGTTTCTGGATCTTTAATAGCAAACGGGAGCCACCGAAGGTCGTGCATCAAGCCATGCCCACTGGGGGCACAGCTCAAACTCTGATCATCCCGAACGCGAATGCATATTTGGATTTGAATGGCGATTATCTGGCTGATCTGTTTCTACAAACGAAGACCTCCTATGAGATTTGGTATGGGATCAATGAGAAAGATGGTCAGGAGAACTTTAGCTATCAGAATTCCATCACCTACGAGCTGGTGGGCTCTAACGACTACGTTGTGGGCCAAGCAGTTTTCATGGACTTCGAGCTACGTGGCGTGCAAAATATTGTCGTACCGTTTTGCGTGCAGGAGAATTGCAAAAATTCGACAATATTTGTGCACGATGGACACATGTTCTACGATGTCCATGTGAACTTCAAGGATCCGCATGGCGTAACTTGGGGATTTGTACCGCCAGACCCGAATGATGTGTACTTGAAGACCATCACTGCCCGCAGCGGTGACTTCAATCTTGATGGCTATCCCGATTTGCTTGTCACCCTGCAACCGTTGAGTGTGGCAAAGCCTGTGATGCAAACGTTCCTCCTAGAGAATGTCGCCTGCAAGACGTGCAGCAAGAAATTCAAGCGCACCTTCGAAGTGCACTGGACAGCTTTGGCGCCCATGGGCAATAATACAGTAGCTGGTGCCTTCTATGACTTCTACCAGGATGGTGTGCTGGATGTGATACTCATGGAGAAGCAGCAGAATGGCAATTATCGTCCACTTGCGTTCCGCAACACCCTCGACTACGACGCCAACTTCGTGAAGGTGATTGTGTTGACTGGTTTGGTGAATGTCCTAAATCCCACACTGCGCACGCCGTTGGGTCGAAAGAAGCGCACGTATGGCAGCAATCTACCTGGTCCGATCATCACGTACAACACAACCACGCAGGATGGCGATCAGCAAAGTGGCAGCAGTGTCCAACTTCCTCAATCATCCTATTTTGCGCTCCAGCTGCCCTACACGTGCTTCGGCCTCGGTCGCACGCCCAACTTTGTGGATCAGCTGGTCGTGGGTCTCTATGGCAAGTGGCACAGCTGGACACAGCTCATACCCAACTCGCAGATCATAGTGGTGCCTAAGCCGCTCGATCAGCCACAGCACTGGAAGGCGCTGCTCTTCGTCACGCCCAGCAAACTGATCCTGATGAGCGTTGTCGCATTAGGCGGCACTTGTCTCGTGATTGTGCTCATCATATTGGTTCTATATGTTAAGGAGAAGCGCGAAGACAGGCAGGAGCGCTTGCAAGAGTCACATAGATTCCATTTTGATGCGATGTAAAAAGCAGTGCAAAAAAAAAAAAAGAAAACAATATTAGCAATTCCGATTGAACCAACTGCAGTCGCTTTATTATTTTATATATAATCTCTTTAATTTGTTAACATAGCTTCACAAACCAGAGTTGTTTTAATTATTACAAAACAAGTTACGCATAGACAGTTGCTTCTATTTAAAACTGATTATGCATATAATTTATATAGTTTAAAAAATGTGATAAAATAAAAAAAAAGATTCAATGAATATAACGCATATTTTTGGGAGTTATTTTATATGATTTTTTGTTTTTTTTTTTAAACGAAATACATGGGATTCGTTTTCAGAAAATCGGGCACAATCAGACGGCGTTTATATTCCTCCTCTGGCGAGCGGCATAGACGAGATCTGTCATTAAATATAAATAAATAAACAGTACAATTAGTGACATGAGCATGTCTGAAATCTATTGTGCAGCTAACCCATAGATGTAGACGCGTCCTCGTGCTGCAGCCAAGTGAGCCAAATAGGCTGGAGCTGGGTATGAGACGGAGCGATTGCAACGTGGAAACATGTGGCACAAATTGTAGGTCAATTGCTGCAGTAGATCAATATCTAGGTTGCCCGTGTTCTCAATAACGTTGTAGCGTGTGGGCTTCGCAGTGCCCTGAATGGACTGATGGCTGACCATGAAGAATTGCATCTCGTTCGGGTGAACAATGGTGCGGTCGACTACAGTGCCGGGCTCAACGTTGTTGAATTTATTTCTTGGATGCGGCTGCCCCTTTGGAAAGAATCGAGTATGATGACGCTTCACCACAATAATGCAGCACATCTTTGGCTTAATGCCCAACTGGAAACCAAGAGAATAGCTTTAACTTTGTCGACAACTTTAAACCAATAGGAGCTTAACCTTAGTGCAAGCCACGTAAATACCCTTCAGTTCAATGTTCTTGATCTTCATGAATTGGCCATCGCTGACGCCGTCACGATAATATATTATATGGTCCGGATAGCGCTTCTGATGCTCTTTGTACACACGCAAGTGCTCCGTTACAATGGACTCCATGTCTAATATTTCCTCGGCTGCTCTGCCGCCGGCCCCGCATTGCAATCTATATTGCATGTTGAATGAGCCGCCGTAAGCGTCGTGTGATGCGGCCACACCCACCACACTGGGTATATCGCGTTGATCCGGTGAAGGATGAGTGACATCGGCACCCAAATACATGACATTCGTGAGCTGTGTACGTGGATCATCCTTGAGCTTGTGATTGATGCCGTTGAGCTTGGAATTGACCTTCAAAAGAATGTTTCCAACCAACTGTGCATTGAGACGACGGTCCACATTATTGTGCTTGATGCACTGCGTCAATATGCCATGTTGCAGTTCGGCTTTTTGCTTGATGACTTCATAGGTGGCTCCCCGTGATGGTATGATAACAAAGACTAAATCAAATCGATTGAGTTTCAGCTCCTTGAAATGATCATCCAAGTTGCGTTCGTCTTTGAAAGTACGAATCTCTGCTCTGGGCTCCAAGCTAACATTCACATCGTTACATTGATTAACAACCTACAGAATATATATATGATTATGTGTCGAAATGCTGCAGGCATTACTCCAAGACTACTCTCACCATTTTCTCGAATTCGCAAACTTTGTTATAGAGCAGACGTGCTCCCTCGCAATGGAGTATGGCCCACTTATGAGCCTTTGGCGTTGGCTTTAAAAATTGACATCTGTCCATGCGCCATGCTCCATTTGAGGGCAATGCGAATTTACTATTCCTGTACTCCAGCTGCGGCGCAGTCAGCAGGCGACTATTCACCGTAATAAAATCAGAGCTGATGCGTATACCAAATCGACTGATAGTCAGATCAGTATTGTGATGAAAGTATTTCAATAGATCCATGATTTTTTTCTTGCGCTCGTCGGTTGATGTGGCTGCAAAGCGTATCATTTCTGAAACCTGATTTGCGCCATCCTTGCGCTGCATTGTCAATAGAGGATAAATATATTTCGATGGGTGTCAGGGTGTGTTTTCATTATATTACTCACATTTAGGGCCTGTCCCTCCTCGATGCGGCACAGTTCAATGGGCAAGTAGATGTTCTTTGCTGGTGGGCCCACGTGGAGACAATGCAGCTTGGGATATTTCAAATTGTAATTGCGTGAACGAAAGTATTCACTGACGGTCATCGTTTTGTCGTCCAGTTTGAATTTTTGCTCGTTGGCTGGCTGTGGTGACAGTCCGTTCACTTTGTAGACGCGCGGTGCAGTCGCAAAGCTGGCCGGTGCCTCGTACACGATATTAATGCCCTTTATGAAGTTCATTAACTGATAAGTGTTGCCCAGCATTGATTGTGGATTTATTTTCGACCTAAGCGCGAAGCGCTCTAGGTACTCAATCATAGGCATAGCGATTGGAAACGATTTGTGTGAGACATCGACATTCACAAATGGCCTATCGCCCAGCACAAAGCTCTGATACAGTCCAACCAAAGCCTCATAGCCGTCTCCAAGCTCGTAACGCTCGCCTTCGTTAGAGTTCTTGAAGAATGAGCGACCCGCACGTATGGCAGTCGAATGGCATGGCGCGGCAAGCACCACCTCCAGACACTGCAGTGCACGCATGGGCTTGTCATAAATCTTATCATTCATATAGCTGCGGAGTGAGCTGAGCTCCACCTCCGAATTATCCGTCTCCTTGATGGTCAATGTATAGCGGACGGTGCGGCCATGACGATCTACAACCTGTACAAAAACAAGTTGGGTAGTCAAATAAATGGATCAGATAAAAGCTATAGTTTTCGCTTGCCTGCACTTCGCCGGTTGTATTTTGGAGCTTGTCCACGCTGTAGCACGACTTGCGTCCATCAAAGGCGGCAATGGCGTTATTCAAATGCTTTGTGCGGAACTCTTCGAAGGCGTTGCGATAGAATTTCTTTGGACGTTCGGGTACAATAGAGACATCATAGTGATAGGCAATGTCTGGCATCTTCGAGATGTCCACATCCAAATAGTTGATGTCCACAAAACCAGCGCGACCCAGAGTGCCACGTTTGATGTTACCTGTTTGGGGCAGAGGCGGGCCCATGGCGCCAGCCTGTGATCGCTGGTCATAGCCCCCTTGTCGGCCCGGAGGACCACGCTGCTGTTGGCCGCCTGGTGGGCCGCGCTGCTGATAGCCACTTTGAGGTCCACCTTGTTGTCCGCCTTGCGGGCGTTTTGGCGGACCACTCTGATTACCACCTTGCTGCTGGGCACCCGATGGGCCAGCCCTACTCCAGCCTTGCTCTTGTTGTCCGCCTTGCGGGCGTTTTGGCGGACCACTCTGATCACCACCTTGCTGCTGGGCACCCGATGGGCCAGCCCTACTCCAGCCTTGCTCTTGTTGTCCGCCTTGCGGGCGTTTTGGCGGACCACTCTGATTACCACCCTGCTGCTGGGCACCCGATGGGCCAGTCCTACTCCAGCCTTGCTCTTGTTGTCCGCCTTGCGGGCGTCTTGGCGGACCACTCTGATTACCACCTTGCTGCTGGGCACCCGATGGGCCAGCCCTACTCCAGCCTTGCTCTTGTTGTCCTGCCTGCTGCGGCCGATATTGCGATGGTTGAGCGCTAGCAGGACGCTGATGCCCACTACCCTGTGCGGGCTGATTGGAACGTTGTGGTCCTGGCCCTCTTGTATCACCAGCTTGCAGCCGAGGTGTGCTCTCTCCAGGTCCAGAATCTGCAGCAGCTAAAATTGAATACGATTGTTGAAGAAATTCAATTACCGATGACGTGTTTGTGTTCAAGTTTTGTGATTCCCCCTTGCATAAACGTTTCAATCCATATTCTGATAACGCGAATAAAATTTTCTGATAACAATGTAGCCTTAATGGCAGGTCTGGTAGGTGTACATTGTACAAGAGAAAATATAATCGTGTTATTCCCCCACATATAAAATAAAGTAATACGCAACTTCTAGACTTATTGCATATAAATGCATACATACATGTATGCTTCGAGTATTACAATTACACAAACACACATACAAAATGAACATATACCGCAAAATAGTTACACACAAATGCACACATACGCACATCGCAATGCATTTCACAATTTTCAATAACTTACCTTGTTGCTGTTGCGCTGGAGCTGGTTCTTCCTTCTTATATTCTGAAAATAAAATTACATATATATAACTTAATTGCACTTGAGTGTATTGCTATCAATACATATCGCATTATTGACTGCACGTACTGTTTTTCTTTCCCATATTAAATGTTAAACAGTTCTGATGTTTTACTTTGTTCTGCTTCACTGCTTCCTTGCTTAGTTTCGTTTGTCTTTCTTATAACTTGCGTTATCGAGCACTGCTCATATGTTGCTGGCACAGTAAATGTTGCAGACCTAAAAAGTATTGCTTTCCATAATATATCGATAGCTCAGAACTGTTACTGTAGTATTGTCTATCGATTTATTCTTACGATACTTTAATTTAAATTTTAAAAGCAAAGCGGGAATTTCAATTGCATTTTTTATCAGAAATTATAATTATCTAACATTGTTTGCAAAGACTACTCCGTTTCCTCTTTTTCCCTTTCTCGGCTGCTCTGTGGAGTAGATACAAACATTTTTATGAGCCCATTAAAGTAAAATTACACAAGTTTTTGTTGTCGTTATGGTTGCATCAAATTTATTTGGAATTGCACTTTTACTTTGCCCAATTAAATGTTTTACAATTTTTTTTATTATATATTTTTTTTTCTTTTGTATGCGCTAAAAATGTTATAGCCAAAAATAACGTATGGTCATATTTATATATGTACACATTATATATAAATATATCATGCATATATCATTTGTGTATACATATATTTGTGTAAATATATTTTGCATTTCTCAATTTGCTTCAACGCATTCGAATCAAATTTTTCCATTGCACAAATGTAATTTTTGTTTCAAATTGTTAATTTTCTCTAGATTTTTGTTTTTCTCTTTAGTTTTTTTTATAAAAATTTTACTAACAATTGCACAACTTCGTCCTCATGTAATTTATGTACATTAAAATAGCTAAAGTAATTATACAATATATATGAATCTTCTCAGATAGGAAATCAATAAAACGTGACAAATTTTCCGCTTAAGTAAACCTTCATCATGTTGATTTGTTTTGCCATTCGTCGTATTCATGTGCTAAATTCAACTAACTTTAAAAACTAAAAATGACTCATAAAAATATTTATAATATAATTAATTAATAATTGATTGTTGGTTTAAAAACAAGAAATATTTAGGTTATGCCAAAAAATTGCACTATAAAATGTTTAAATTCAAATTGTAAATCATAATAAATCAAACAAAAATCTTTGCTGCAAAGTAAATCATATTGTTGTCGTCGTCGTTGTAGTTGTGGTAATGCACTTAAATTAAATTAAAACTTAACAAACAATATTTTCATTATCTTCATCTACTACTTTTTTTTATAATTGGCTCGGAAATATCGAAAGCATTTTTTCAATCTGGTAAACGAAAAAAAAAGTATTCTTAAATGCTGCATAAAGACATAGTTCGTTAAATATTCACTACAAATATATATATATGTATGTACATAGATAGTTATACATATATAAATGTACTACATAAAATTATAATTCATATATGGAATTGTTTGTCGTTCGAACAGATTTTCTATAAAACATTTTGCTTTAGCTTAGATTTGATTTTTTTTTTTTTTTTTTTTTTTTTTTTTTTTAGAAATATCGTATAAAGGAACAAAAGTCTTGCAAAATGAAATTCGAAAACTATTTTACTATTATTTCCTCAATTTTCATTAGTATTGTTTTTTGGGAAACAGCTTTGAAAGTAGCTCGTACCATTCAAGCATTCATTATTAAAACATAATATATATGTGTCGCTCTTCAATCCAATAAAATCGAATCAAATGTTCCTTTAGAGCTCATGCCGGTTGCGATTTTCCTTTTTGGTTGTGTGTGTGTGTGTAATAGTTTTTCTTTTAGTTTTTATGTAGCTTCTATTTAGAGGCTAGTCTACATGTTTGAGCTTGTCTTGCCTACGTTCTATTTATCAAATATTAGTTTATATAACAGGAATGCATGACTAATCATAATAATATAGAATACAAACTATAAGTAGCTAATCATCGATAATTATCGATATACATATATATATATATATATATATGTGTTTCTCAGTTATGGGCATTATGGACTGATAACTCCTAAGAGTTGTTGAGGTTGGGATTTGAATTTCTCTTTAAAATGGGGGAATGTTTTTTTGCGTTTGCTTTGTGCTAACTGAAAAAGCCAATAAACTGATAAATTCTTAATAAAAAACGAAAACAAAAACAAAAAAGAATCGAAATAATCGTTAAAGTAAAATAAAATATCTCTCGGGCAGGCAGGCGAAACTTGAACCGCATTGCGATCCAGGCTTAGGACTTTTTCACATTGTGCTTGCTAACTAGGGCCTGCAGTTTGTGCAGCTGACTAAGTAGATTGGCATTGGTATCCTCCAGTGACTCGAGGCGCTTCTTGTAATCGTGATTCTCAGTAACCAGAATTTCCACACGCCGTTCCAGCTGATCCATATACTCCTTCTTCTTACGACGACTTTCCTGAGCAGAGATCTAAAAGAGTTGCAAAACATTTAACTATAGATCTATAATAAAGTATATTGGGTTTTAGTGAAATTCCCACCTTATTTTTAATTTTGCGTCGTATTTTCTTAAGCGATTTCTCTTCGGCTTTGGTTAGCGGCAGCTTCTGTGGTATGGGATAGCCCTCTGCTAGAAGCGTGCGCTTCTCCTCCTCCGTCAGCAACAGGGTGCCCGTAGAGCCTTTCTGTGGGCGAGAGAGAGAGAGAGAGAGAGAGAGAGAGTTGTATAAGTATCCAATAGTGGCATAGGTGATCGAATTATCTTACTGGCTGGGAGCTGATGAGAGGCGTGTGTATGGGCTGCCTCGTCGATGGCGTGGCATTGCTGGTGGCGCCTCCATTGCTGCTGTTGCTCGCCGCTCGTGTCATAGCCGCCGACGTTCGTCGCGCACTTGAAGTCTGCGCCACTTCGCTGGTGGTAGCCGTCGAGGCATTTGGCGATAGTGGAGCAAACAAATGCTCCGGCGACAAATTGCCCTCGGAGTCATCGCTGGGCAGCGACGAGGGCGGCGTAAGGGGTATGCCATAGGCGTGTGACTTTCCCGAGCTGCTGCTGCTGCTGCTGTTGCTGTTGTTGCTGCTGGCATTGCTTTGCTTTTCGCTCTTGATGGCGATCTTGGGCAGCATCAGACTCTGGCTGCTCTGGCCAAGCAAGAGCTGTTGCTGCTGCTGCTGTTGCTGCTGCGATTTGATAAGGCTCTGGCTGCTGGCGGCCAATAAAAGGCCACCATGCTGAAAGCAAAGGAAAAGGAATTAATTTTATATCGACTTGGGACTTTTTTCGTAAACTGTCTCACCTTTTGGTCGAAGAGCAGCTCCGTTTGTAAATTGGCCAGGTTGAGGCTCAGCTGCTGGGCGCTGCTGTTCTGTGAGTTTGGACTGGCGGGGCAGCTGGAGTCGGGCGACATGGGCTCATCCTTGATGATCGCCTCGTCAATTTCAATATCCGAGCAGATGTCCGGCGATATGCTGCCCTCTCTGGCCGACGACACCGACGAGCTGCAATCGTTGTCATCGTACATATCCGCTAAGTGTTGAGGTAGTTGAAAGTGCTCCAGCGTCACGTGCATCCCATTGCTGCCGCTGCTGCTGCTCTGGCCGTGTTGGTGCTGAAGCTGGTGCTGCTGTGGCTGGTGGTGCTGGTGGAGCTGCTGCTGCTGATGTTGCTGCTGTTGCTGGTGCTGGTGGTTCAGCTCAGTGGCTCGCGCTGTGCTCGCCGCCGCCAACTCTGTGATGGCTGTGCTCAATGCGGAGCTCGCACTGGCGATGGCTCCACTCGTGCTGCTCAGCATGGCGCTGCTGCGACTGTTTCTTGCGGGCGGGTGTAGTGTTAGGCATTTGGGATCGATGGTGATGCGACCGTTGCCAGAGTAACACTCGTCATCCATATCTGCAAAGGAGTGAGCAAAGGGGAAACACTTAACAATTTTCCACACGAATCAAAGGTCTGCTCCAATTAAGGGAACTGGGGGAACTGGGGGAAAAAAAACATATTTTTCTCTATGCCAACTTGATAAAATAACATTTGCCATTTGTCACAACTGCAAAATGTGAATGCATCAGACTAAGACTGAAAACATATTTCCATGAGGCATGACTAACAGAACTTTTGTTTATAGCAATCATGTATATCTATGAAGAACCGAATAGTGAAAACTTTCGAAGTTGTTTTGGGATTTGTAGAACAATTATAAAGATCATTTAAATTTGACTGTTTTGCTTAAATTCCTCTAATGTCACAAGTGGAAAACTACATTCAACATTTTGCCTTTGCACCTAGACAATTCTCTTGCCTTTGTATTTTAATCATAAGTTGAATCAAATAATATCTGAATAAATATTTTTGCTGAGCAACCTAAATTTATTGAATTTCGCCTTCTGCTATGGCTTGGCCTAGTTGGCAAATATTATACAATTATTTGATATTGTTCTCTGTAACTATGCAAACAGATCCAAACATTGGATCTACTTGGATCAACGAGCTGAAGGCATACGCGCGCGTCAGCAGCTGCTTGTGGCATGCCACTTGTGTTTGCATTTAATACTAGCTATGAATGTTCTATTGTTTTTTCAGTTACGTTTTTCTCTTCTTTTTAATAAATTTTAATTTTATTTACACAGTTGTTGTACAGTTTCCATAAAATTACAAATAATAAAAATTAAGAGAGAGAAAAAAAAAAACAGGCCAACAGCAATTATATATACCCTGCGCCCATATACATACATACAAACATATATACGGGAATATTACCAACAACAATAACTGATATCGCGTCAAAGTACAAAACTTCATGCACGAGTACTGCGTTAAATTGCTAAATGCTACCGCTACAGTTAAAAAATAAAGTAAAATAAAACACAGAAGCTGCTCAACTGTGTTTTTGTTGTTGTTGTCATGTTTTGTCGTTCACTATGTACATGGCCTAAATTCACAATGGAGCCACCAACTGGCAACTGTATTTGTCTTGTCTAGAGCCACACAGCCACAGCGTGAAAAACTCAAGAAAACGTTAACTCAACCGTTATCCCAAATAATCGATAGTATCTATTGCTTTATTCTTCTTCTTTTTATACATTAAACAGAAATCCCCTTCCCAATGCGATATCGATAACAAATACATACCATCGATTTTCGCCTGCAGGCTTTTTGGTGAATCGGGCAGGGAATCACCATCGCTGTTGAGACTGTAGGAATGCTCCGTTTTGATTGGTCCCGTGCCATTGAGCAGCGCATCGGAGATGAGCTTATCGTGCAGTATGACAGCTGGATCCTTGACATCACGATCGTAAAACCAATCGTGCATATCATGATCACTGCTAATTTTCAAGGATTCCGTCTGTAAAAAAAAAAACGCAGCAAGAGCAGCAGAAAAAAAGAAAAAACAATAGCAAAGGTAATTAGTAAATGAATGAAAAACACGGCATGGGGAGTCGCAGTCGTGTTGCACGGCGATAGCGCGCACGCTTATATAACTTAGGAACAAAAGTGGAAATATATACATATGTACAAATACATATTTATACATTTATTTGTGCAAACAAGAATACAACAACAAATACCCTGAAAATAATTTAAAAAGCGATTCGCACGAAATGCTGGCACACGTAAAACCAAAAACGCAGCGATACAGATATACGACTCATGCAGATAGCTCAGTACAATAATAAGTACAATATTTTTAAAATTATATACATACACATATTCACATACATACATATTTAAAGATGGGCAGCCTTGCATACGTCTACGAAGTCTGTATTTGTATTTTTGTTTGTCAATCTTATCAATGGCGACAGCGGCACTATCGTACCCTTGAAATTCTCATAGATTCAAACAAAATCAAAATAAAAGTAATTTAAACTTTATCAATTCATAAGAACTGAAGTGGACAGGGCATTGCAATTTTGTTTCGATATTCTTTTAAATCTATGTCAACGTTGGCAAACTACTTAAAAAGTGCGCCTTTCTGTCAGACATTTCGATAAGCTTTTAGTTGTTATCGTTCTCTCTGTATCTATTTTGCATGTCCTTTGGACAAAACCATCGATAACGATGAAACTCTACAAGCAATTTTTGTTCGCCGCTCATCTCCAATTTTGCGACACTTGCAAAAAGCAAGTAAGAGTAAAATACAAAAAATGTGTAACAGATTAATAAATTAAATTTAAATGGATCGCATTTTGTGGTGCCGTGAGTGCGATTAGTCGCAAAAAACCAAACAACCTTGAATAACAGCCATGTGCATGTCGAGAGCTGGATGCTCATCATCAAATGCGATTTGCAACAAGTGTTTGTTTGTTGTCTGCCGCTGGCCAGGAACAAGTTTGCTTCTTCTTCTACTCCCAAAATATATAAATATCCAGAATGCGAAATTGGCCGCGATGATGTAATCTCAATGTGCCAGTTTTTGACAAAATAAACGTTCTTAGAGATACATATACATATGCATGTATGTGTGTGTGTGTGTGTGTGTGTGTGTGTGTGTGTGTGTGTGTGTGTAGAAAAAAAGCAAGACATTTTGAATTTACTTAATTGCTGTAAACAAATCTACGGCCATAAATTGTTGACCTATATAAATGCGACACTTTCTGCATGAGAGTAAGTGTATGTGTGTGTAAATTGTTTTTGTAACTATACACATATTCGTATGTATGTATGTATGTGTGATTGTAGCATGATAAAAAGTGCATGTAATTACGCTTGGCTTTAAAAGCCCATTAGTATGTAAAATATATATTTTTTTGCCTCGACAAAAAATGCTCACATTCTAAGCCACACTCAAATGGGAAATCCAGTTTTGGCCATAAGAAAAGGGAACGTCGTCGTCGCGGGCACTGCCATACATACATGCATGAGTGTGTGTGTGTGCGTGTGCTGTGTGTCAGCCGGCTTGCGTGCTGCTACAGGTATGAATCTCACTCTCTCTCTCTCTCTCTCTCTCTCTCTCTCTCTCTCTCTCTCTGTCCTATTCGTCTCTTACTCTTTCTCTCTGCGCTGTCTGTCTGTGTGGGTCTTCTTTCAAGCTTACCACTTATTCGTACTCGGCATATAAACTTAAACATTGATTACCGTTTGCACGCGTGCATTGTATATGCCTTATGTACATACAAACATACATACAAATGTATGCTTATGCATGTAAAGGCATTCACTGGTATGCGCGAGGGTGGCTTTAAAAGTATTCGAGCATTAACGACACTAACGAACGTGACGTGCAATTGCGATGACATTTGGTGATCGTAAATGCGGCTTGTGATGAGACCTGCATCGATAACTCAATGTAATTGCGATGACTCTCGACTTGAACTACATAATTGCATTCCAATATAGAGAGACGCACTGGCATAGAGAAGAAAAGCTGCGGAATGTTTTCGCAAGCCACACTTTATGATCCACCCTCGTTTGCATGTACATACGTCTGTTTGTATATCCCTGCACAAGTGCTTTCTCCATATTTTAGCCGACTCTCTGCAGCGGCCAAGAATCGGCAAAGTAGCAGCGGCAGCAGAGAAGCGTAAATAAAGCGTACAACTGTGTTAGTGTGTATGTGCTGTGCGTGCCTTTAGCGTATATATGCATGTATGTGTGTTTGTGTATGTTTATGATGAGTTCAACGAACCTTGGAATTGTTGAGAATTAGCAATTCTTGAAAAATGTTACCAAAACGGGCAACATAAACACACACAGACAGAGACACATATACAAAGAGATATTGTGGGGAGCTCGATGATGAAAGAAAGCCAAGAGACAGCAAAAAATAAATGCTCACAGGCATTTCACGATGCCCCCTGCTTCCCAGCTGTTGCTGTTGCTTTTGCTGTTGTTGATGCTGTAGATCGTAGCAAAGCGGCGCTGGGGGCCAAGTTACGAACAAATCAAAGATGTGGAGCATCGGTGAACAGTTCGTTTGCTGCAGGTTTCATGTGATCTTTTCTTTGTCTCTCTCGCTGTCTTCAGGTTCGATGAAAGGTGAAGTCAAGTGCTACCTGCCCTCGAGTGTTCAGCGGACACTTAAGCCGCAAAAAGCGCTTAAGCAATAGCTTAAGCATCTAATGATCATCACACAGATTCATATATCGATTGTACGCTTGGCTATCGGTGGCAAACCACAATCGATGCAAATGAGCACCTGTTGCACACACGTGCAACGCGACGTATGCATTTAATGAGAACGTTTTCCATATTTTTAACGTTTCCAAATCTATTCAAATACAAAACTCTAAATGAGCCGCCGTAGGGTTTTTAGATTTAACATATACATATACATTTGTACATACATATGTATGTGTATGTATGTAAATACATACTTATCTGGCCGACATTAGCATATCGCATTCGATCCATTATACAATTTTATTTAAATTTATTTTTCTGATTTTTTTTTTTTTTTCGTAGTTTCAGGCAAAGCAAGAAGGGTGTAAATGACAAAAAGAAATGAAAAAAAAAAAACCAAAGCAACAAAATACAATTTCATAAAATAATTAAACTGGTTATAGTTTTTTTTTGTCTTTCTTCTTTTTTTAGTTTCGTATTGTCTATATGTATGTCTGTATATGTATATATTTCGATTTGTTTTTTTTCGCTTGCTCCACAAATTGGATTGATTAAATAATGTTGCAGCAAGCGAAAACCTTTCACATTTATAAAAATGCACTTGTGTGAGTGTATGCCTGTCTGTGTACATGTGTACTTATGTTTGTAGGCACACACACACATACTTAACTGACATATGTATGCATGTATCGGTTTGCTTTGTGTGTTGTGCACAGCATTTTTAGCTGCTCTTTATTTCTTTTCAATTTTAATGCTTGTCTGTCTCACCGTCTTTCTGTTGCTACTACTACTGCTGCTTGCTACTTCTTCTTCTTCATCCTCTTCTTCTTCTTCTTCTTCAACATCATCATGATGTTGATCATCGGCGTAAAGTGAAAGGTGCTCCCACAATTCAAAAATGCTTTTTAACTTGAAAAATTGCTACGCTTTGGCTTGCGCTTTGGTTTCGACATTTGCCTGTTTCGCTGGCAGTCGAAAAGAGCGTGGTAAATGGTAATTGGTAAATGTAAAGTGGCCCAAAAAGAAAGTGGACGAAACAGTAGAAGAATGCTAAAAGGCAACCCTGGCCGAAGTTTGTTGATTGCCTTTCAAATGCTATTGTTGCAAATTAATGTTGAAAAAAATAAATTTCGAAACTTATTTATTAGTTTTTTTTTTCTTTTTGTTTACATATTTTTGCATGGTTTATTTTTGGCCATGTTAATTAACTAGCTCCAAATGATCGATGCTTTTAATTTGCTTACGCTTACATAATGATCGATAAATAGCATATGCACGATTGTTATCGACAAGGCAGCTGACCTTCTCTAGGACAGTTGACGCCGCACGGGCAACCCCTATGGGAGCCAAATTGGCAACAATTATCAGTCACATAAGTGACGATATTTTTTTTACCGTATTATAAATATAACCAAGTTGTTATATTAATAGTAAATACAACAAGAACAACAACAATTAGTGCGATATGGCGTGGGCGTGCGTCCTATGCGGGCTTAACCTTATCAAATGGCAAACACATTGTACATATAGGTGTGCGTGTATGTGTGTGTGTGCGTCTGTTTGTAAAGAGAAATGTACGCAAGCAGCAAGGCGCCCCTGACGTAAAAGCCACCCGCCAGTTAACCAATTCCCCACAATTCCGACAACAAAAATATTCGCAAAACGGAAATGTTGTGAAAGTTGCGAATGGGCGCACAACCCACGCGTGAAGACTCCAGCCAGTAGCCATGGCCACCACCATTTCGGTGGGGTCCTCCTAATCGCATGTTGCGGCATTGCGGTTGCTCTATACTCTACACAAGTGGCTAAAGCGGTTGACTTTGACGCCATTCACTAAACAGAAAAAACGCAGGGGCGAAATAGCAATAAATAAATAAATAATTTAAACATCGATAGCCAATAAGACGGAAGCAAATTTATGTAGATCAACGCCAAAAAACCAATTGATCAAGTGAGCTTTGTGTTAGCAAACACACAGGGTGACTCACTTAGGATCATCAATATTGTTGACTGAGTCACTTCAATAAGCATTGTCGATTGGCTTGATGTTGTGGGAAAACGGTAAAATGTTGCGATAAGCTCAATTCCAGAAACTAATTACTAATTGCGATGGGCTTTATATAATGGTTCCATAAATAGTAACACTTCCGACTTCTTTTGCATGCAAATTACATTTATTTTTATAATTTTTTTGAGAAATAAATGCTTAAATAAATTTTGTACATATATTACTTTCGAAATACTAAACTTCTCGCACTACCCTCGTGCCAAGCTATTTACAGT